AGCACGCTCGAGGTGCGTGTGAAGGAAACTCCACTCCGTTTTGGTTGGTGGCATTGCAAGAAGCGTTCCTTTTTCCTTAAAGGCCACCGTGCAAGGTAATAAATGAGTCAACTACACCTCACAAGGCTGGCCGAGAAGACTGCGAGCCCCTTCTAGCCTTGTAGGGACAGAGACAATGATGACACCTACGAGGGGATGTCGCTGCCCTGGGACACCCAGACGTCCTCTTACTCCACTCTCCACACTGCATCACTGGTGCCCCAGGGTCTCAAGGCTGCCATGTCCGGCACCCTTCCCAAACAGCTGAGAGGAGTAACGCCCAGGAAGGTGACGTGGCGGGGGTCACGGGCACGTTCACAACCAAGCGCCAGAACACACGCCGCCGTCCAGTGAACGCAGCCACGAGCACTGCAGGTGCGCGGGCCAGAGGTCCCTCCTTCCGGGTCCAGGCGGGCCCTTACCCTCTTCCAGGTGGCCAGCAGCTGTTTATCGGACATCTGCTCTGGATAATCCGCAATCGCAAACACACATCCCAGTAAGAAGCCTTCTTCCGGAACTAGAACAGGGTTGTACGAGAAAAGAAAATTACAACTCTATGACGACGCACGCACAGAAACTGAAACGTGCATCTTGGGAGCTCTGCTTGAATTCACTATGCTGATCAGCCTGATCCGCCCCCCGGTCACCCGAGTATACTTGGAATATGGCAACGAACAGAGGAGTCTGGGCATTTTCCTAAATGATCACTAAAAAGTAAAAGTTTATGCCTGCCATTAAGAACTTGGAGTTGGCCTGTGGCTGCCTGGACGTCCTGTGGCACCCGGATATTCACCTCAGTCTATGACATCCCAAAGGACAAAGTAAGTTCGATTAGCCCATCATAACGGTATCTGTATGTGTTAGGGACGAGGGCTGCGTTCTCCGTCCGTGGTAATACGTGACCCGAGTCCCTGCCCCACACCCGACACGACAGCGGCTAGTTACTGACTCTGCACAGCCGGATCATGCCCGAACAGCTGGTGTTGCAGGGGCTGCTGCGGGGGGCCCTGGTGCTGCAGGGCCTGGGGCGCCGGGCTTGGCAGCGGTGCTGTCTGGCTCGGCATTTGCTGCTGCT